CTAATAGCTTAATTTTACAGCTTGTTTAGAGCACTCCAAGATTATAGCGCCCATTATCGGTGAAACGTAACATAGAGTTCTGAATTTTTAAAGAATAGATGTAATTTGCCAAAATGGTCTACTAATTGAGTTAACAAGTTTTCATAATTTGATTCCTAGGTTTTAAAATGAGGATACGTCAGCAGTTATGGAAACGAACAGTGTCACATCCATATGAAAAGGCACAAAACTCTTTTAGGCGTTTGGCTGAATATTGGCGAATACTGGAAGGGATTAGCCACAAAATCAAAAGGGCATGTTCAATGCGCTTTCTCACATCAGTCTAGCAGAGAAGATCCAGTCAAAAACTCTGAAACTTTTCACCATTAGACACTTTCAATATTCAACCACCAAGGGGGGCATTGCTGCTGCAACTCCCGCGGTTTTGCAGCGAAATTTCTTAGGTTAGTAGATGACCAAGTAAGTCAAACCATTTTTCAGAGTGTGCAATTTATATCGCAGTATCGAAAAGGTTTGGGGAATTTCGAGCATAGAGGTTTCGCAGCTACCTGCGCAGAAGAAAACCATGGACGTGCTGAAGGACATAGACAAAAAGAAGCAATTCTGAAACTTGATTTGCCGAAGCATGATATTCTAGAAGGTTCTGTTCAGCGGGCTTTGCGCATTACGTAATCCCATATAACGCGCAAATGTTTACTCTAATTGCACTTGTGGTTCTTGTACAGACTAGCCATGGTTACAATGGACGAAAATTACGAATGAGAGAATAGAAAAACCAGAAAGTTTTTGAGAAGGGTCAATCTATAATACGATTAGCCTTTAGAACTTGAGAAAAAAATGTGTGCAAGATTTACAAGCAATTTATTTTTTCGCAAAGCCAATTCAAGATTATAAAGTTGCGACCTTAATCATAAAATTATTGCACCAATATTGCTAGTGCTCGTTGTATGTGATTTTTTGAGCCTGGAAATAGACAGAAAGTATGGGGTTGGGACATAAGTCTTCCAATATATCAGGTTGTCCCATAAGTTCCGTCCGCTTGACCTTCAACCGCAATAATTCATGCATTTCTTATATCTGAATAAGTTTTAAAGTACCACCGGATAGAGCTTGGCAAGCTCTACAATATAATATTCGTTATTTTGCACCAGCTCTAATACACCTTGATTCTGAAGCCAAAAGCTAAAACTCGACTAAAAGAATTTATGGGACAACCTGATAGATATAAACCTTAGTAATTCTTTTCCTACATACATCTTAGGTAGATATATCAATCGATAGAGCAAAGCTATGTTGCTCTACAAGATAGCTTTCGAAGGTTTGCACCAACTTTTATCCACCGAATGAAAACGGCAGCTAGAAGGATCCATGCGTTCGAGAAACCTAAGAAAATTTTTGGGAAATTCGGAACTTCCTTCAAAAACCGCGAAAATTCTAGCTTGCTCATGCATAAGCATGCCATATTGTCGCGGATTCGCGACTTCCTTCAAAGGTCGCCGCCGCCGCCTCGCGAAGGGTCCCAAAACGCCGTCCTCGCGCTGTCCCGCCTCTCACCTCTCTCACCTGCGTAGCGTTTAAATAAGTCACGTAGTCACTCTTCGCAGCTGCCGTCACAGTGAGCGGTCGGGTTCCAATCGTCTCAAGCCATCGATCGATCAGCGCTACCCCATCTCACGCGTCGCTTCCATCAACGCCACGGAGGACTGGCTCCCACGCTACGAGGTAACCCCGAGCGCGCTCGCGCCTGGCACACACCGGCGACACCGCCTCGGGGGGTTTCCGATATTGCCGACCCCTAGGCTAACATCTGGTCGGTTGTGCTCATCCTGTATGTTTGAGTGTAGGGATAAGTTTGCGGATAAATGGTGGGCATTGTGCAGGTGTGATATGTGTTGGAGCGGTGACCACAGCTCGACTGTGGCTCCGGAATATCGTGTTATCATTCTGTGTGTATTTCGTAATCAAGCCTAATGGGTAACATCCGTAGGACGGCTGGCATGATCCATGGTAGTGCCACGGTTATGAGTACACGCCCCAGCTGTCGATGGCTGGAAGCATAGGTCGAGCCCCAAGTGACGAATCGCTACTAAGCAGGCTGGTGGCAAGGGCCCCTAAGAGTGTATGGAGTTCCCATGTGGCAGGCACACAGAGCAGTTGCACAGGTAGTCACCTCACACGTTACGCTTCACTATTCTCACGGAGCGGGCCCCTGGCTCCCCTCGCCCAATCTCGATGCAGGAGAGCAATTGTACCACTGACGTTGGGAGCTGGGGGCCCAATCCGCGACATGGTGCATCGTACCGGAGTTGAGCATAGGGATAGCAAACCTATGTTCAGCTTTTGTGATCGAGCCCCACCTGTGTAGGCCACGTGCGCACGCCTTGCACATTAGTGTCCCTAGCCAGCAGTGCAAATCCATCCCATTTTCCATTTCACATGTTTGCGCAGTGTATACATGCTGGTTGTACCTTGTGGCTCCTTGGAGAACTCATCTCTCGTCTCATCAGCAAGTTCTGACGCGACTAGGTTGACGCGAGTACGCGACTACCCACAGTTCCACTATCGGGGGTAGGGTGATCCCGTAGACCTGGATGGCAGCAGCAATCTACGCCCTTCCTACCGCCCGGAACTGTCTGGTGCCTTCTGACGGCCAGGTTTCTCTGCAGCCATCGAGATGGTTCGGCTCTGTCTGCCCTGAAACACGCTGTCAGGCTGCGAAAGAGCCCTTGTGTTGCGTTAGATGAGAGTCTCGCCCCTAAATTTATTCTTTCCCACATGCTCGCATTGCGCACTCATTTCTTTTTCTCTTTTTGCAATTTGTGGCTAGGCTTAGTTAGTGATGGTCCCTTGCGATCGATACTGCTTTCGTCATCGGCACTCATCCCCATATAACATCCCGGGGTTTCAGTCGTTGCTCGTTGTTCATTGTTTCACGCATTTCGCTCGTGTATTGTGTTCACCATTTCGTGTGACTACGTCCGCAAGTAGTCGCACCCTCATCAAACATACTCATGTAGCACAATTTCAGAATTTGGGTTTGGCAGTTACTACCTCCTGCAAGTTTTCGAGCTAGTGTGCTATCGATCGATATGGCTACCGTGGAATCCTATATCCCCAAGGTCGTCAAAGCCATCGAGGACCTGGAGGCGATTAGGAAACAGGTAAGTTCCGATCTGCTTACCCCGTACGTGTCTGACGCCCCAGTTGCCGAGCAACTCCATCAGCTCCAGCAACGTCAGGCAGCCACACAGTTCTCTATAGTGAGTCTGAGATCCGCACTTTCGCTTCTGCGTGAGCGTCGCGATGTACTTCTCTACCACATCACCATCTCCAATTCGCCGACGGATCAGCAGGCGTACAGCAGGTTCGAGGAAGAGCATAGCGTGGATCAACATCAGGCCGACGCTGAAGCACTTCTCCGCACTTTGCAGAGTACCCAGGAAGCGGATAGTGAACACTACCAATCTCTTCGTATCCACCGACTCGCTAATTCCATCAGTGAGGACGCCACTACGGAGACGACAGGAACAGTGATGACGCCCCAGCGACATGATCGCACAGATGCCCCACAGCCACGTGCTGAAGCCCAGTTGGACGCTGTACAGCAGCTAGAACATCTTCAGCTTACATCCGCACAAACTGCCCCATCGTTGCACAACGTACCGATCCATTTGGAGAAGTTAACGTTGCCGCATTTCGATGGAGATGTCCAGCAGTTTTGGTGCACGTTTGAGCTAGCTGTTCACAACGACCCCAACATCGACCTCAACATGAAATATCTCTACCTTATGAATCTTCTCAAGGGAGAAGCTCAAGTGGTGTTGCAGGACCTTGAACCAGGACGGAACAACTACCATCAGTTGGTGCAAGCACTGAAGAAGCGATACGACTGCCCGAGGAGGACCAGAGCGCTGTTTCATCAGCAGCTCCGAGATCTTCAGCCCGCAACCGAATCAGCTTCGGATATGCGAAACACTTGGTTCCGGATTCAGGGAATCCTCCATGCCCTTAAGCGCTTCGAGGATCTGAATCGTGCCCTTTATATTATCGATCTCGTACGGACTAAGTTCCCCCTGTCGATCCAGGAGCGACTTAACAACGTCGAGTTCGAGAAACGAGCCGACTTTGATCTTCGACAAGTCATGTCTCACCTCGATGACCTTATTCAGTCAAGGGAGAGGTTTGAGCAGACTTGCTCCCGCAGTAGTACTTATGTCATCCACAGAGATATTTCCCCAGGACGTCAGTCAACGTCTTCCCCAAGATCACTTTATGATCCAGCCGCATGTTGTTTCTGCGATTCCTTTGCACATTCCTCTCGTGGATGCAACCAACAGCTCCCAGTCAACGTTCGCCGTAAGATCGTGCAGCTTCTGGGATTATGTTGGAAGTGTCTTCGTGAAGGACATCGTCAAGATCAGTGCAATTATCCCATCTGCAGGAATTGTAGAGGCTACCACCATCGACTCCTCTGTAGGTTTGCACCAAGGAGAAGCCGATCCCCAAGGACTAGGTCACCCCATGGACCACGACCCGCTACGAGAAGTCGCCAATCCTTCAAGGACTATTCTCCTTCGAGAAGTCCAGCACGGGACAACAGGAGATCCCGAGATCGTTCTCGTGATCGTACTTATCAACCCCGCGAACAGAGAGGATATCGCAGCAGATCGAGTTCCAGCTCTCACTCTCGGGAACGTGAGTTATCCCGATCCCCATCTCCACGTGTACGATTTGACGTGCCCGTTAGAGATTCATCTCCCACGAATCGGCGATCACAACAATCCCCATCACCGGAACGACGCAGAAGCCGAAGATCAGGATCGCCATATCCTGAAGAGGCAAGGACGAATGATCAGCTGTTAGTACAGTCCGATACGGAGTATGAGGACTATCACCAGTGTTATCTACGTCTGCAGCTTCATTCGCACAATCCCCAGCTTCACCCAGCTTTGATGCTGGTGAAAGCCAAAGCTCGCACTGCCTCAGGAGATCTCCAGGATATGACCCTTTTGCTCGATTCCGGCGCACAGACCAGCTTTATCACCACATCCGCAGTCAAACGACTAGGTCTTCATGTCTATGACCATCAGCCGATTACGTTAACAGCTTTTGGAGGACATCAGACCACGGAAGTTTCTGGTAAAGCTGATCTCACACTTATCGATTTATTCGATAAGCAACTCACAGTCTTTGTACGCACCAAAGACAAACTCACAAGTCCCACTACCTCACCAGGATTGCCTAAGGAAGATATCGATTTCATTCGTCAGTTTGGATTCGACCTTCCGACTTACCATGAGGACGCATCGGTCAACGTCGACATCCTCATAGGTATTGACCATTTCTGGGATATCATCACACAAGGATCATCTGTATGCCTACCGTCAGGATTAGTTCTGACCCACACACGATTTGGTACCGTTGTCTCAGGTTCATCTTTTTTTTCGCAGGTTCATCCCGTCTCAACATCCACCGGGATGGAGCAGTGGCGAGAAGACGATGAAGACGAGGACATCGTCGTCAGATTGTGGCAACTAGAACGTTTAGGTATTACAGATCAGCCCCACGATGACGAAAACGCCATCGCTAATTCCTATATCCTCAAGCACTTCGAGGATACCGCATGTTTCCACAATGGGTTTCTCTACGTGCAGTTTCCTTGGAAGGAATCACATCCCCAGCTGGCCGACAATAAGCAGTTAGCTTATTGCCGATTAGTCAGTCAATATCGCAGTCTACAGGAAAGACCATCTGTATGGAGGAGCTACTGTGCAGCCATCGCACAACACTTGGAGTCAGGCTTCATAGAGGAAGTTAGTGAGCAGGTTGACGATAGTCATCTTGTCTACTATATTCCCCATCAAGCTGTCTTTAAGGAATCATCGGCTACTACTAAGTTGAGAGTAGTTTTCGATGCCTCATCCCACATGCGAGGAGTACCCAGTTTGAATGACTGCCTCTATGAAGGACCATCTCTTTTACCGGAGATAGCAGGAATTCAGCTTCGAGCTCGGTTGCACAAGTATCTACTGATCGCTGATGTAGAGAAGGCATTCCATCAGGTTCGACTGCAGGTTTCTCAGCGAGATGTGACACGTTTCCTGTGGCTGAAGGATGTCAATCGACCTCCTGACAAGGATAACTTACGTCATTTTCGCTTCACGAGAATCCCATTTGGAGTCAAATCCTCCCCATTTATACTAGCCGCATCTATTCGCATTTATTTGCACCGCATTAATACCCCACTTTGTCGAGAAATCGAAAGGAACACATATGTGGACAACGTTGTTCTAGGTGCTTCTACACAGGACGAAGCCGTGCAGAAGTATAGATCAGCCAAGTCCATATTTGACCACATGCACATGAATTTGAGAGAATTTTTGTGCTCCTCAAACATAGTCAATCGCAAAATAGACCCACAAGACCGCATTAAGGAACCGGAACACACGAAACTATTGGGAATTCCATGGACACCTGATCCGGATGTGCTTACCATCCCGATCAAGACCATAGAACATCCAGTAGTTTCGAAACGTACTGCTCTCAAAGCTTATGCTTCCACATATGACCCCCTAGGTCTTCTCACCCCTTTTATGGTTCCCTTTAAGTTATTCATACAAGATTTGTGGTTGAAGAAGCTTAAGTGGGACGATAGACTGGGTGAGGAAACCCTCAAAGAGTGGCGACGCCTTTGTCAAGATGCACAGTATCCGTTACCACCCTTCCCCAGACGAGTTATCCCGCGATCTATACCCCTCACATGTACATTCGAATTATGCGTCTTTGGAGATGCATCTAAACGGGTGTACGCCGCATGCGCATATTTGGTGAGTCGTGTTCACGACAATACCACCTCACACCTCGTTATGGCCAGATCACACCTTAACGAGCCCGCAAAGCCCATGACTATCCCCAGAATGGAATTAATGGCAGCCAGGAATTCCATCAAACTAGCCCAATACCTCCACAAAGAGTTGGATCTTCCACTCTCCACAATTCACATTTTTCAGACTCCCAAATCGTGCTTCACTGGATTCATTCCACCAGGCCATTGAAGCAGTTTGTCCATAATAGGGTAAGTTTCATTCGCAAGATCGTTAAGGAACTTCAGGATTCGGGTACCGATGTCAAGTTCCACTATGTTGCTTCGGAAGACAATCCCGCGGACTATGCGACGCGCGGATTGACGACGAAGGAAGCAGTGGATCACGTTTGGTGGACAGGACCATCGTTCATCCTTCGGTTACCTGAGTACTGGCCCGACAAAGATATGGACTTCACGACCCTGCCCACGACAACACCGGAGCAGGACAAGGAGTTTGTACAGGTAGGTTTGGTTAGAGAAGATTCACACGTGTCAGTTATCCCATTTCACGTCACAAACAGTTATACGAAACTTCTTCGTATTGCCGTTTACGTCCTCAGATTTTTGCGCCGCAAGTTTCTTGGCCCCAAACTGTCCGCGCATAGACATCATCTCTATAAGGCAATCCCCATTCTTTCTCAAATTTCCTCTGCCGGTAACATCACGGCCCAGGACATTGCCTTAGCAGAGATTTTGCTTATTCGCGAACATTATCGAGAGTCTGCCCATCTGTTAGAACGTTTTCGCCTCGAGCGATTCAACGCACATAGAGACGAAAACGGGCTCATCAGATGCCCAGCCCGCATGGAGAAAGTCCACCCCACAGCACCCATTTTGTTGGTGCCCTCACATAGACTCACATCCCTCATCACACTTCACATCCATTTCGCATCGTATCATCAAGGAGTCTATGGGACTATCGCCCAGCTGTTACAACGCTTTTTTGTACCCTCCACACGTCGTACGGTAGATCGCATTCTTCGCACATGTACCGTTTGTAAGAGAGCCAGTGGCCCAGCCTATCGTTATCCGGACATGCCCAGCTTGCCCGAGGAACGAGTCATGAGATCACCGTTCCAGAACGTAGGACTGGACTATCTGGGTCCCATCCACTACAGGGATGCGAACGGCACAAAGGCGAAGTCATGGGTGTGCCTCACTACGTGCATGGCCACAAGAGCTGTACATTTGGAACTTGTCAGCTCCAACTCCACACAGGACTTCCTACTAGCCTTCCGACGATTTATGGGACGACGTGGAACACCAGACGTCATCTACAGTGATAACACATCCACATTCCATGCCGCAGAAAACGCAATGAGAACTTTGTTCTTTGCGCCTCAGTCATGGAACCCCATCCACAGTTTCGCAACGAAACATAGGATCACGTGGAAGTTTATCAACCCCATATCGCCCTGGAAAGGAGGCTTTTATGAGAGACTCGTTGCTCTCTTCAAGTCTGCCTTCAAGAAGACGATAGGAAGGACCTCACTCACATGGGAACAGTTGAGAACAGTGGTCGTAGAGATCGAAGCGATTCTCAACTCTCGACCTATAACCCCGTATCGAGAGGGAGCTCCGTTTCGAGTATTACGCCCAGTGGATTTCATCTCCCCAGAAGTTCAGCTTCAACTTCCCCCAAAACCCCAGACTTACGATATTGTTGTCGACGAACACAGATTGTCGGATTGGTATAGGGAAGCGCAATCCGTTTTGGATTCCTTTTGGGAAATATGGCGCACCGATTACCTTTCCGCACTTGTTCAGCGCCACCAACGTCGTTTGCGACAGCCCAGGCACACAGCTGTACATCCCCAAGTTAACGATCTCGTGCTAATTGCCGAAGACAATTTGCCGAGAGGACAGTGGAAGTTGGGAATTGTGGTTCGACTTCATGGGAGCGAACCCAACAATGTACGAGTCGCAGAAGTACGGATGCCCAACGGTAAGTTCCTCAGAAGACCGTTATCGCGTCTTTACCCTTTAGAGATTCGCGCCCAAGACAACTACACCCCAATATCCAAGCCCAGAAGAGTGCCTTCTAGACATTCTTCCCATTCTCCCACGAGGATTCAGCCTCCCCGCAAAGCTAAACGCTTAAAATCGCAAATTCCGACCCACGGAGCATAAACGCGCTCCAATCCACACGCGATGCGTGTGCGCAGCGTGCCCTATCATCACATTCCCAAGTATACTCGCCCCAATCGCAAAACGCGCTCGCAAACGCGCTCCGCACGACTACGCCGATTGAGTGGTCCCGCAGGGAAAGCTACAGTCAGCATATACGAAATTGCATCATGCCGACGCACGTTGGTTGTCATTTCAACATCTTCCTTTGCGATTTCTTGTATGTTGCGTTTATTTCTGTACTTTCTCTTCATTCTCATCTCCCAACAAGCCACATTTCCCATTTGTCGTTTGTTTTTTCTGATTTTCTTCCTCATATTGTGCCAAAAAAGGCAGTGGCTTGTCTTTTGCAACTTTCACACCTCACATTCTTTCTCACATTTTCTCACACATCCTTTCACACATTCTTTCTCACATTTTACTTACTCACATTTAATTTTTGCACATTGGTCAGGCAAGAAATTCTTGTTTGTGCGCGCGTTCTCATTTCATCTACTCTTGTAGTGCATTTTGCCTCAATCTCACTTTCACATTCACACTCTTTCACCTTATACTCTAACTCACAACTTTCATACTCACACTCACACTCCTCTTTACGCACATTCATCTCTCTCACACATTCTCCCTCACTCACATCCCTTTCACACTCACTCTCTCACACATTTTCTCACATCATTCTCCCATTATACATGTCTGACATGTTATACTGCATGCTACATGTTATAACTCATGCGCGACCTGACCAATTGACCTCACTTGTTTTACACTTCATTTTATCACGCCTCATGCATCATAAGGACCTCATGTTTCTCTCCCCATTCCTTTTTCCCATTTTTTCTCTGCCCACTTTCCTTCTCTCATTTTTATCAACCCATGTTACACTCCATGTGTGTATGCATGTCGTAGTACGTCGTACCCCCATTCTCATACTTCGCTTTCAGGTAATAGCGATCGTAGTCTGACCAACTACAAGCGAACTGATGGCGATTAAAGAGAAGTCGAAACGAGGAGTGCCTGTCCCCCCAAAGGACAGCGCCTACCAGTTCGGAGCGAGAGCGGACGCCGCCCAGGAGACAGCCTACTCCCCCCAAGGATCGCGATACGAAGACCGCCGACGATCCTAGCGGCGCCGCACTTGTGGCCGCGGTCATCCGGGAGCTTTCGTCCGCGAAAGTTCCGAAACCAACGCCCGCCCCAGTGGTCGCACCCCAGGTGGACGTATCCCATCTGAGTCCGCCGGGAGAAGACCCCTATACTCGCAAGCCGACGATGATCGAACTCATCACCGCGATCGCCAAAGGGTATAATCCCAATCGTCGACTGCTTCGTGAAGCTGACAGCGATACCCAGGCACACGCTGTCCCCCAGTCATACCGACCCGCACTGAGTCTGCTCCAGCAGCTCACCACAGCTTTCAACTTTAGGCACATCTTTGACCCAGCCCATCTGGGACAACAGGATTATGTGCTCCTCGATGGATACCTCCACAGCAAGATCGGGCAGCGTTTCCGCAGTCTCTTCACGAAAGAGATCTTTTCGCCCCAGGAGGAGGATCTCATCGGAGCTAAGACCGAGCATCTGATGCCCCTAATGGTCACGTACGAATTGAAAGCACTCGACAACGCCGTTACGGAAGCCACAAAGTTTATAAACTCCACATCCCAGCTGCCGTTGCCAGACACCCAGGGACTCCTAGAGAGGATCGACCGCATCCACACCCTCACATATAACATCAACTATCGTCGACACGCGGTCAATACTCGCCTAACAGAGTTGTTCCATCTCCAGCCGGCTGAGTTACAGCAAAGGCTTGCTCTGTTAGCCCACTACGGAGTCACACCGGACGAGTTGACCCAGATCAACCTCACATCCGCCACAATGGTTGCGGAGATGGAAAGAATCCGTCACCAATACCATGTCATCATTATGCGCAGGTTCGAAGCGCATCCCCAAGAATCGCGCCCACAGTCTACGACAGCCACAGCTCGTCAGAGCACCCCATCGAAGCGCCCGCATTCACGCTCTCGCACACGACAGCGACACCAAGACGACATCCAGGAAGAAGTCCTTGCTGGTATCGCCGAGTTGCCATCGTCGTCGACGGATCGACATCGATCCCGCTCAGCCAGAGCCCCCAAGAGGTTTCGTAGGGAATCGGAGGTGACCTCCACATCGGTTGCAACATCGCCGCCCCACGTGTCGCCCGCCCCCCAGGATGGGGCCCCACGCCCCATTTCAGGTGAGCGTCAGGCGGACGAGCCGATGGAGGAGAGAGCGGGAGCAGAGGAGGCCGGATACACCGCCCGAGAACATCCGCTGTTACTTCTGCAGGCAGCGCCATTACTCGTCCAGTTGTCCTAACTACACCTTCTTGAGTGACAGGATGATCTGAATGCGAGGAGGGGCGGATGTTTCTTGTGCTGTGGTATCCATGCCGAGGAAGACTGCCCTCGCTATGGCAGGAGATGCCGGTCGTGCCGCTCTAAGGACCACGACACCTCATTCTGCTTTAAACAGTACCACTGTACCTGTGATATCCCATATGACGAATACCTCACCACCCTTGAACAGTACAAGGCAATGGCTGACATGCGCAGGCGACAGAGAGCCAGGAGAGAGCAGAGGAGAGACGCCTCGCCCCACGATCGTCAGCCCCAGAGAAGAGATGCCTCGCCTCACGATCATTAGCCCCAGGTTACGTTTCCCCAACTCACGAGTTTTTGGTGAAGCTTTACGCTCACCCCCCAACTTTCATTCCTTTATTAATGTTATTTGTTCAGATTGAGGATAAGATCCCCCAAGTTTCGAGTCCACTGTTGCGATAGCCCCAACTATCGAGTTTTGGGTGGAAGATGGAGAGTTTCCCAAGTTGCGTGATCCCCACTTGACGATAGCCCCAACTGACGATTTTTGGGTATGTTTAATTTAGTTTAACTATTTTATTCGTACCCTTTTATTTTCTTTTCTTTTTCTTTTGATTTTGTGGTTTTTGGCGGGCCTTAAGCTCGCCCCGTTTTTTGTTGCTGACCCTATTTTAGGTTGGCCCGCAGTTGACGTGTATCTCAAGTGCCTACTTCCCAACTGTCGAGTTTTGGGGGCCACGGTGGGAGACCGTGTCATTTTTGGAGTTTTTGGGATGCCCCCTTTCGCATGTGTCTCGCCCCAGGGGTCTTGTGTTGCGAGGTAAAATCTCCCCCTCGCTTTGAATTCATCCCCAGGCGTGAAAAACCGCGCCAGTAGGCAAATTTAACATCTTTTGCCAACTCATCGTCACTTCAACGTCACCAATGTCGAGCCGCTGTCACGTCAAGCCGAACATCCACGTCAAGCCGAGTTCCATGGTCCGTTCAAGCTGTCGATGCCGCAACTGTCGAGTCAATGGTCACGTCAATGGTCACCTCAACTTCCGTTCAACGCAACCATCGTCTCCACAACTGCCGAAGAAGCCCGCCACCAGAGTAGAGCCCCCGACGACTCTTCATGCTTACCTCCGAGAACAACCGGCTGTTACCACGACAGGCTGTAGGTCCCGCGTTCCACCTAGGGATTCTTGACTCGTAGGTTTGTATGTATGTTTAACTCGTAGGGTCGTAGGTAACATGGCAGATCGGGAGCTACCTCGGACCCTTTCTTTTTCGTTGCCCGGAGTGTCGCGGATTCGCGACTTCCTTCAAAGGTCGCCGCCGCCGCCTCGCGAAGGGTCCCAAAACGCCGTCCTCGCGCTGTCCCGCCTCTCACCTCTCTCACCTGCGTAGCGTTTAAATAAGTCACGTAGTCACTCTTCGCAGCTGCCGTCACAGTGAGCGGTCGGGTTCCAATCGTCTCAAGCCATCGATCGATCAGCGCTACCCCATCTCACGCGTCGCTTCCATCAACGCCACGGAGGACTGGCTCCCACGCTACGAGGTAACCCCGAGCGCGCTCGCGCCTGGCACACGCCGGCGACACCGCCTCGGGGGGTTTCCGATATTGCCGACCCCTAGGCTAACATCTGGTCGGTTGTGCTCATCCTGTATGTTTGAGTGTAGGGATAAGTTTGCGGATAAATGGTGGGCATTGTGCAGGTGTGATATGTGTTGGAGCGGTGACCACAGCTCGACTGTGGCTCCGGAATATCGTGTTATCATTCTGTGTGTATTTCGTAATCAAGCCTAGTGGGTAACATCCGTAGGACGGCTGGCATGATCCATGGTAGTGCCACGGTTATGAGTACACGCCCCAGCTGTCGATGGCTGGAAGCATAGGTCGAGCCCCAAGTGACGAATCGCTACTAAGCAGGCTAGTGGCAAGGGCCCCTAAGAGTGTATGGAGTTCCCATGTGGCAGGCACACAGAGCAGTTGCACAGGTAGCCACCTCACACGTTACGCTTCACTATTCTCACGGAGCGGACCCCTGGCTCCCCTCGCCGATGCAGGAGAGCAATTGTACCACTGACGTTGGGAGCTGGGGGCCCAATCCGCGACACATATCACACATTTATTTGAGCAACTGCTGTTTTTTTCTCCGCTAAGAATCAAGAAAATGATGATTTTCATGTTTTTGTCGAATCGCTTAGCTGTTCTTACAGTAGCAGTTGTATGCTACAAGCCTTCAAAAGTAATTCTCCGAAATAATTTTTTTGTGAATTTTTGGCCTTCTGCAGCACCTCCGAGAAATATCGGAATCGGCCTAAAAATCCGAATGAGAGGAGCTAGACATAGCATCATTTTGACGAAATAAAAAAATTTTCATTCTCTTAGTCTCCAGCCAAGGGTATATGTGAAAGTCTGGTGCAAAGACTATAAACTCTGAGCAACGTGCAGGTCGCAAAATTTTCCTAACAAAGTTATGATTTCTTCTTTTTCGAGTAGCTGGAATTTTTTTGATTTTTGGTCTTAGCAGGGCTCAGCACGAAGTGGCCTTCCGAATATGCAAAAAACGAAGTCTCCTTGACTTTCGCAAGATTTTCTCCTTTATTTGTCTCCTTGGACCCAAAATCGAAATCGTCGACCAAAAAAACCTAACCTGTTGTGTTTTTTTCAGACCGCAAAAACGATATTTCATTTGCTTTTCGCACCAAAAACGATATCGAGCTTGCGTGTAAGCCAGCTTGCCAAGCCCTGAGTAGATTTCGCTTGGATCACATTGGTGCAAATCTTTGAAAACCATTTTGTAGAGCTCGCCTAGTTCTATAAAAAGATATATCAGAACCTATCTATGTTATAAGAGATAATTGTTGCGGTTTATGCTCACTTTGGGGTGAGACTTCTGTTCCAACCTAAAAATGTGGCAAGTGCAAGAAAATTGTAAGAATTGAAAAGCTAGAAAGTAGAAAGAGTGGTCGCACAGGAAAAATCAGATAGAGTGTGGTAACTATGGGGCTAAAAATCAAAATGGCCTCTGTTAGCAAACATTAAAAACATTTTTCATAAAGACGCTGGAAGTATTCTAAAAGATAGGGAGAATGTAACAATCCAACGTCTTCAAGCTGACGTCATCCAAGATGGATTGAGCATCCGGTCGTTGAAAAGCTCAAATTACCCTATATATGACGCCATTAAACTCAAAAACAAAGTAGAAAGTGAGAACTACTGAGCTCAAGGATAAATTAGGCCTTTCTTCAACGGCAGTCGCTTTGCACAGAGCAATTAAGGCAACTTTCTCGAATTTCTTGGTCAAAACGATTTTAGGGGATTCTCAGAAAGCAGTGGATGCCATACTCATTGCTGAAATCGTATTCATTTATTGCAGACACTCGACTGTAATAAAAAAAAAACTCAGCAGAAAACAAGACGAGCAGAACTGATTTATCCTCCTGTATGAGCTTCTCAGCGAGAAGAAAAGTTTGATATGCAGATTTTTTCCATTTCATTGCTCAACTTCAGCTTCTTCCAATTTTTGGAGTTCTTTTTTTTAGAAAAAAATTCGATAAACACACTGTCACGAATGAGCGAAAAAGCTTATGTTTATGCGAAAATGATAAACAACGAGGAAAAAGCAATATTCCAATGTGGGAACAAAGAAATGGCAATAAAGAAAACAGGAAAAATAAAATAAGTCAAAATATCAATTTCCATGCCATTACTTTTCAAAAAATATATTTATTTGTTTGAAATATGTATTTGTCATGAAAAGTTCCCTCAAGGAAAATGGTCAAGCACTGAAGTATATGCATCTGATTGGATATTTTTCAATATATACATCTCAATGCATTCTAATTGATTTCAGTGCCTTTCAATTTTTGCTGAATTCTCATGAAAAATTCTACAGTGATTTGTTTTCAAATTTGCAGCAATTTTTATTCCTTTACCCATATAATATATAGCGTGTACTCATTTAAGCCAGTACAAAAAAAACTAGTGTATAAATTAACAGCATGGCTTGCTCTAACTTTTGGAATTTTTGCAGAACTCCATAGATTGTAGCCAAGGAAAAGTAAGGATGAACCTCTAAAAATGCAGAGAAGCTTCTGGATACGTGAAAAACAAGAATCTTGGAGAAAGATGCTTCAAATTGAAGTAAATAGCCGAGAGACACGCTCAAAACACTTGCGCATTCAAATGAGGTGTCGTAGTCGTAGACTGAGTGAATCTCGAAATATGTAAGCATGAACGGATGCAAGCCTAGTAGAGCTATAGTCTTCAGAGAGTGAAGAGCATGAAAAAAGTATTTCAAAGTCAATTCGAGCGGAGATTCATGGGTAGACTTATAATTGAGATTAGTACCAAATTTAATTTCATGACATGATTGTTGCATGAATTTTCAAATACAGAAAAAAGGCCGTGCAACCCTGAGGCATTTCAAGAACATTTTCATGCTATGCGAAATCATTCTTCAAACTACTATTACTAGGTCAAAAAGAATCAATGAATCTCCATGTCTCGTAAAAACTTTCGTAATCTTAAAAGAGCATATTTTTATACAAGAAAAGAGTCCCTTAGAAAAAAATTATATCCAATCACGCGCTATTTTGAAGGTAGCTCAAGCAATATCTGCTAGAAATAAACCCGATAATCTGAAAGAAAAAATCAGCCTTAAAATCGAGAAATTCAATATGAGCGATGTGGAACGCCAAGAAATGTCAATTCTAAGATGAAAAATGTCATCGTATTTCATGCATTGAGTAGCTAATGTATTTATTGATGAAACTTATGAATATGTCTCAAGGGCAGTTTGTCTTGAAAGAATAACAAAGTAGCCTTTAACGATCAGAGAAAAAACTGGTGTATAGGTCTCATAAGGGCCTCTTATATTTGAAGCTTAGTAGTAATTTTCTAACACTAGAAAATGTGGCGATTATCGAAATTTTCATGTCCACAGCCAGATCAAGGAGACGGCTGCAAATTATACTTGGGTAATTCGAGAGTTTTTCATCGAATGAATGAATATCGAATAAATTCGGAAAATCAAAAATATCGAATGAATGAATTTCGAATAAATTCGGAATATCAAAAATATCGAATGAATGAATATCGAATATATTCGAACATTGGAAGTCGAATTTCGAATAAATATTCGAATGATTTTTCGAATAACTAAAGCAACCATATCTCAAACTTGCCGACACATCTGGCTAGAGCCAATCCAATCATAATCAGCCCCCTAGTACCCCCTATACCAACTCCTAGCTCAAAATTTTCCAAAAATTGCTGAAATCGATAAAATAGATTTCGGTTTTGATCAGCATCCTCATTTACCCCCTGTAACAACTCCCAAGCTCGTAGCTCGAGATTTTCCAAAAATCGATAAAATTTATAAAGTAAATTTTTATTATCCATAATCAGCACCCTCACTTACCCCCTTGTACCAACTCTCAGCCCCGCAGCTCAAACTTCCCCAAAAATCGATAAAGTCGGTCGGTCGGCATCTAGTCTATACGTCAACAAAAAGTCATATT